GAATTGAATAAAGCCCCATTTATTAACTTATCCTATCATTCCGTGGCAAGTGTAGGCAGGGCCCTACTAGGTCAATCCAATAGATCTACTTTTGCTCACTTTTCTTTTCTCATTCGTAAAAAACAATGGTGCTAATGATTAAAATTCTGCCTTTCGTTTCAGAATTTACATCCAATTCGAGGACGTGAATTTTCGTGCTAAGTATTTCAATTTCGCCTACGCATTGGACACCTTCTTTGTCATTTCTATTATTATCATAAATATCACAATGATGATTACACTGAAGAGAAAATACCGCTTGGTGAGTTGAATTTTGTTTTTGTCATAAATACTTCGCAAAGTTATCCCTAGAGATATGTGAGGGATTATGGCAAATCTAGTAGAAAGTTTGACTAATTACAAGGAGAACGGCTGTTTCGAACCTTCCACCAATGAGCAATTGAGGTGGGCGGGGATGCCTGCACGCCTATACGCTATTGGTTGGATACGCCTCTAATTGTAAAGGAGAGTCGCTAGAGCGCTCTGCCAGCTCTGAACGCCCCCTCTTAGCATACATGCTCGACGGGGCATGTCATTTTAAAGGGGAAATTCGAGTTTAGAAACATTCCGGATGAAGTGATCAAGAAAAAGCGAATAGAAAGCACCCCACTACCCCTGTCTTATTTTATCATTCAGTTCAATTTTTGGCTAGAATTGATGTAGGCGGTTTAATGTGAATTTATTGTGCAAGGATATTTCTTTTAGCGCAAATCCGCCTCATACTGTGCACCTTTGAATCAGAAAGTGCTGTCAGAGAAACAACGTCAAGAAAACAATCTGACAATCGTCTCGGTTGTCACTTGTGCCATAGAAATTGCATACTACTTGTATATCTTATATGCATTCCCTATTCAAGCTCATGTGAATACCAGGGTACGATTTTTTATCCATAAAGCCAAATCTACATTATTTATATTACATTTCCGTTTTTTCGGAAACCGTGACTTTAACTGTAGCATAGTTGTAAGAGGGTCGACCTAAACAGTACATGTGAAGTGAAATGAATATATTAAGTGCTGTTATATTTGGATAACTGCTGTAAGGAATGGTGTCGAAAACATTAAGACGAACGAATAATTTCCAAAAGATGAAAAATTGAAGGCACTGTTTTGGTTATAATAATTGAGACTTAAAAAACTGGTACAGAACCATTACTCTGAAGTGAACACGGAGTAAAAGAAAATCGGCTATTTTTGAGGTATTCTTTCTACTGTACAATGTATTCAATGACATCTACGCCGGAGCATCAGCATGGCTCATTCTTTCGTTCTCAACGACTCTGCAGCAGCATCTTCGCAACCAACTAAGGTACTTTATCTAATTGAATCATATAGAGTTTGGGTTAAAAAGAAATTTCAATCTATGAAGTTCTGGGAGAGGCTTCAT